TAACATATGTATTAGGAAGCTAAAACAAATACTTGTTAAATCATGACAAAAGTGTCGCAAGTGAACTACCCTTACGTGTAACATATCTGAGTGAAATCAATGAATATGCTATAAAAACTGATGGAACTAATGATTTCGCCCCTATGTTTTTGACTAATTTCCCTAAATACGTGATCTGTCATTTTTTCTTCTTGTTGAATTATGTTCCTCAGATATTTTGTATAATCTAAGTAAACAGTCCTTCAAACGATCCACCTATTACACAATATAAGAATTGTGTATACGTGCTGTTGAATTGACAGATAGTCTTCGATGCAAAAAGGTTTCATCACGATATCCTAAACTGTATAAGATCCTGTACATTTCTCGACCATCCTTGCATACAGAGATCGTTTTTTCAGGTTATATACAGGTGGTGATATTGTTCAGAAGAACTGTGAAAGCTTTACGATCAAACTATCCAGTTTAGAGAGCAAACTTCCATCAAAATCATCCATCTGAGCTACAAACCTTCTCCACCATCTCGACAATTTCTCACATGGATTTTCATTCAGAAGTGTACAACAGAAAGTTCGACAGACATGTTTCTCAGCTAATTAATCAAATTGGAAACTTGAATTGTTGAACATTGATAAAAATAATCGTATTAATAACAAAAACATTATTTTGATGAAATAATCTTTGGTCAACATGCATTTTGATGTAATATACATTAACCTATGGAAAAATATACACAACAATTTACACGATTACAACTTAAGTAAACATGACATGTTAATTTTGTTGATTTATTTCAGATTGTATAGAAATATGGACTTTTATTAACTATTAATAAGTCAGTAGATTATACCTTTGACCACGAAATGGAAGTTAAGACCGCATTCATAGGAAAGCTAATTTTGATGGTGAAATTTACTTGTTTTGATTCTAGGATAATAATTAATGAGAAAAATACAGTAGAGATTAAATAACAAACAAGCAAAGAGGGCAACGATAAGTGAGATTTATGATTTTCCCAAACATGGTGAAGTTTGGCACGTACAAGTGATTATTTGAATAGCATTCATAATATTATTATTTTCAGGTTGACCTCAATAGATCATATGAAAGCACCATAGCAGTAAATAAACCATAATTAAAATTTTCTAGACAGAACAGCATGGAGTTGTTAGTAAAGTAGACGGTGAACTAGTATCAAATATTGACCAATATATTCAAATAATTCCGAGGAATATCGACAACTAGCGTGTAAACAATAGTTGATCATCATTTTCTTAATTTTTAAGCAGTATATGCCGATTTCAAGGCGAGACAACACTTCCGATACTTCGTATTTCATGGAAAATTGATTTTAAATTTACTGAGTGTTGAACAGAATTCTCCAAATTACAATTTTTAAGTAAACGGAGTATACCTATCGAGACATAAAATAAAAAATATTGGTTAAGCGAAGAGTTCTGCTTTTATTGAATTCATTTTCAAAGCTGTACAATCGCAAATATTTGCTTATTTTTTCAAAATGATAGTAATGACAGTAATAGTGATGAAAATTTTTTACCAGACATGGTAGCTTACTTACGCCTGTTAGCTCTCATGGAGGAGCATAGGCCGCACACCAGCATTCTGCATCCAACCCTGCCCTGCCCAATCCTTCCTAGTTCTTTCTAGTCCCCATTCATCTGCTTCTATTTCGCGGCGTAATGTGTTCTTTGGTCTTCCTCTTTTCAGCTTCCCTTCACGATTCCAAGCTAGTACTTGAATCGTGATGCAGTTTGGTGATTTCCTCAATAATGTTGTTTGGAACTTGAATAATCACTGTCAAGGTAGATTAATTATTATTATGTTGAAAAAAATAAGAACGTAATTACCAACGTACATATCTGAAAATGAGTTCGTCAAAATGAGGAATCTCTTTTGAACCAATCATTTCTACTTAATATCATAATACATCTCTACTATATCCTAAAACCAAGGACTACAAATTCATTCGTAGGACTTAACACTTCATTAGTTGCTTCTGGTTCTGAGAATATAAAATTAGTTTTTAAATAGTGAGCAACAAAAATGTAGTATAAAAGTTGAATTGTGTCGAGCCGTGGAACCCAGGATTTGTGGTTCCTTCGGTTAGGGACTAGTAAGCTTCATGTCCTGGATTGCAGTGCCTATCACTTCAAGCGTCAACTTATCATTCACTAAGCTACTGATTACGAAAAGCCAATGACTAGTTTGATGGGTATGATGGTGTTGGTAGGTATTTGAACTGAACAGTCTCTGTTGGTATATGTGCACCGTTAACCGATTGACTCGCTATTGAATACGAAAGATGTGAGTGCTAAATTCCACTGTTAGTCACAATCCATCTTAACTCAAACTTGTGAGTAAATTGAAAGATTAAGGCAATCTATTCAGAATGTACATATCTCAACAGAGTTTGGTCAATTGCATCAACACTTACTCATAACAATGTAGGTTGGTCAACAGGTTATAAGAAATTGCATAATCATATAAGGTTTTCAATGTTTAGCATTTTAATTACAGAATAATGTAGTTGATGAATCCAATACTGGACAATTCCATGTTGTAGATTCCATTTCCTTAAAAATCAGATCAGTATATTAAAGGAGTTGATTTTCTTAACTACATCACAGTATGCATACAAAGATCTTGTTAACTAAGCAAAGTTAATCATTTCTCTACAGTCAATGGATGACCAGACAAAGCATAACCGCGACAAAAATATTCACTGAGGAAATTCGAGAATGTAATCCCTAGAAAATCACAAGTCACATTCCATTTAGGTTGATTGACATAACATTGAGCAAACTGTATGAATAGTACCGACATAAAGCATGTTCGTGAAACAACAGTTAACAATGGAGAATGATCATTGTCCAAATTTGATAACCAGTATATACCTCATGGTTTCATCAGATAATTACTTAGATATGTAAATGATTTATAATAAGCCATTAGTAGTCGATCAAAGGAAAACACTACACATGTATCGTTTTTCCATCCTCAACTATCCCAACTTTTTATTGTTTAAAATTAAATTCGATTTTGCATTTTTCAACTCATACTACTTACAAGTAATGTCAAATAGGTTTCAAAATTGACATATCAGGATTTAATATCAGAAGGGTTTTGTGGATATTATAGTATTGAAATGTCAGGATTTCTTATATGAAATAAAAAAATGAGTTGTACGTAGATAATGTTTAGTTCTTCGAAGTGTAAGTAGGAATAAATTGTTTGAAGGAAAGTGGGAAATTAATTTTCAAAACTAATAAAACGATGGTTCATATCAACCATTTGATAGACAAATTAGCACGAATTCTCTTCTTGTTCAACTAACCAACAATTAGGAACGAATCAAATAGGATCTAATTGTGAATGAATACGTTACTTAGTTTGCTGGCAATGAACGCAGTCAGAAACTTGGCATGTTAGTTTTTGCACTGTTTGGTGTAGCACTGTAAATTAATTATTAGACATGTGAATTTCGTGGATTAACATATTGAAGGTATTTGAGTGGTTTGTTTCATTGTACGGGTATGGATATAATCATTTTCGAAATAATTTCAATCAATAATGGGAAATGTGCTCATTTGCGACTTGATCGTTATGAATGACTTTAAAGTAACGAATAAGAAAGTAATTAAGAATTCCTATCCTAACAGGATAAAAACAGATATGTTTGAAATACAACTTTACTTCCTACGTTTTCTCCAGAAAATAAATTTGGTTAGATACTGATGTGCTGACATATTATGGGAATGAGGATTATTTCTACTCGTAGATCAGGTAATTAATTATCTGATTGTCGCTCTGTGTTCATATATTCAATTAATTCATAAAAATATATCACCTGTTTTATACTACTTTGTATTAGAAAGTAGTGCATATACTGGGCATTTAAATGTAGTGATTGGATTACTTATCCTTATGTTTACATTCACAACTCTTCTTCACATTTACTCTTTCAAATAGAGCGAGATCGACAAGTTTCTGTTTGAATCAATCTGACTAGTTCAAAAATTTGTTTCAATGAAGATGTTCAAGGAAACAAGAAAAAAATGATTTCTTAAATCAAATTAATTTTATTTGATTTTCATCAGATATGAACAGCCTAAATTCACATTGAGAAATACAATTAGTCACAAAGGTTTGAAAAACGTATGCTGAGATGAACTATTAAAACTAGACGGCAAATAACTTGTAAGATCTGTAACGATTGTTTAGAAAAGTTTCTTTAAATCAAAATTGAAAAACCAGTTCATTGCTTGTTAATTATTTTGAAGGCCTTTGAGAAACTCATTATCAATTAAATATCGAGTAATTAAGCTTGTGAAATTACTTCTCCATTTTCGCATAGGTTCCAAAGATATATATATATATATATGAAAAGATATGATGGAAATCTAGTTGAGAACAAATATTACTTCACCCCATTCGCCTTTTACTCAATGGAGAGTCTTACGTTATCGAAGCCTTTACACTTCCAGTTTTTAAAACGGAGTACAAAGGCTTTATCAGGTGACTGTCTAAGTAACGTTTGTTCATGAAACAAACAAATATGTAACTGACTCGATAGATCTCGTCAGTTTGAGAGTCTTCTGGTTTATATTTCTTGATAACAGATAACAAACGCGAACCACAAATACAGAGGTTACTGCCAAATATATAAAACAATTTAACGACTTATTGGTTCTTGTGGATAATCAACGGGAACTGTGACAGTCATTCTAAATGAATTAGTACCAACACTAAGTTCAGCTTGCATCGAAGAAATAGATAGAAATGTATAGTAGCTCGACAGCATTACAACATAGCAAGGACGACATCGTCAGTAATGTGATGTGTTCTCTTAAAACTATCTTTATTACAATTTTCGTGTGTTATTTAGTAACAGTTGAAGTGTATACCTCACAAGAATCTTTTTACTTCAAGACTGTTCTTCATTCAGAAGTAACACTAACTAGATATATTTTGTTTTCTTAGGTACATATACATTTTCTATTCAACCTTTACTTGCTCATGTGGGCCTCGTGGATTTAGTAAGTAAAACTCACGTTGCTTTGGCTGTTGCATGAGGAATACGTATTTACGCAGTCGTACCTTTTCCACCAGTCAACTTAGTTACGAAGTCAATCCTGTCCGAAGAATTATTGATCCTAGTATTTCTACATATGCTTACTTGTTTAGGTAGTTAGAAGTTCGAAAAGCCCAAAGTCACTTAATTTGTCAATATTGATTGATTTCGAAATTCATTCTAGAAATAAAACTGAGAATAAACTAGTATGGCCGATGTAGTATTTCAAAAACCTCGGTTGAAAATTTTCCATGAAAAATTAATAGATGGACGAATCATTTTTCAGCAAATATAAAATTGATACATAAATCTGTAAATAACAGTCAACGTCAATGATTCAATAAAATAGACACTACATTTATTTTGATATAACACGTTTATCTTATTAAAATTGAAGTAGAAAACTGTAATATTTATAATAATAATAATAATAACTATAGTAATGATTAGTAGTACAAAATTGTATATGATAATTTATTTAAAAATATGGTATTCATAAAAGCGATAATATAATTTTGCTTTAAAAAAAACCCCGGCTTGATCCCCCCTCTCACCAGTAAATGTTATCAGTATAACAAAAAAGTACATTGGAAAAAGTTTACATATAAAAAAGACAACTGGGAATATTTAATAATAATAATAATAAATAATTATATCTAAAGATGAAAAGAGTCATCAGTTTTATACAAAATATGAATAGAAAAATATGTTGGCAAATATTTTGAGTCTATGGAAAAGTGTGATCATTTACATATGAGAAATAGAATAAATAAGAAGACATATACACATACATGACACAAGAACATATACAAATATATGGTGAAACAGATACACAATAAAAACATAGAAGGGGTACCAGATTATTTGTAATCATAGTAGCCTTACTAATAGTAGTCGTAATAAAAAGAATAGTAATAATTTTAACAATGGTAGTGATAATAATAATAATGGTAATAATAGTAACTGTACATGAATTTATAATCTTATGGGATGAAGTTTGTTTTTTTAGCCTAGTGTAAATACTGTCGAGGTTCCAAGTAATCTTCGTGCTTCAACATTAAATCAACGTATCCCTACGTATGAGATGGTAAAAAGAAAAAGAGAACAAATAACCTGATAATCTCAATTTATAAATGAATGAGTGAATATACAGTAAAATGTACGCACAGTTCATCATCGAACCACACACCTAATTCTGAATGTTACCGCATATTGAGTTATATTATACCCCCAAAGAAACATTTTCATTATAAAGTCAAATGGATTTGAAAAAATTAACTTACCTTCATTGAATCGTTGTTTTCTTTCAGGTCACCATAACTGGATTTCATTTCAGCAATTCGGTTACATATGTCATAAAATCTTGGTCGATTTTCGGGATCTTGTGACCAGCACTCTAACATCAATTGGTAGATTGAATTAGTGGATAGGTATGGTCTAGTATTACGATTCCCATTATTTATCCAGCTGACTAGTTGTCCATTATCTAGTCCAGGATATGGTGAATTACCCAAACTGAATAATTCCCACAATAGAATCCCGTAAGACCAAACATCACATTTTGAAGTATAACGTTTCGTCGTTGTCAAACACTCTGGTGCCATCCATCTTACTGCTAAGTATCCCTTTTATTTCAAGTATTTAAATATATAATGTGAAAATGATATCAGTTACAATCATATTCGAAGTAACGTAACAAAATATATTTCGAACATAAAAATGATACTTTAATAAATCGTAAAGTAAACACTTCAAATAGAACAAACAAACAAATAACATTTATTCAGTAAAAATCAAAGAATAAGTATATTTAAGCTTGAATCAGTTATCAGCTGTGATGAATAAAAGATATAATAGGGTAATGTACAAAGTACTATGTTATAGATGCTTCTGTCAATGATCTTCCTCGTTGGTATGAGAGAAAATATACATCAATTTTGATAAATTCCATTTGTTAAAATCAAAGGGGATAAATGATGAACTAATAAGTTCAAGTAACCAAATAAAAAAAATTCACTGAATTAGGTCTAATAATTTACTGTAACATAAGTGATAACTAATTAATAGTCTATGAGCAGTGGATATAAGATAAACTTCAATCATAATACTTTTAACAACGTTAAAAAACAGGTAAGTAATAAATAAACAGTGAAAAGATTTTACAAGTATCTGTAGTGTCTGGTAGTTATTAGAAACGCAAGAAATCTAGCTGTTGAGATATTGAAGAGGGTTTCTATGGTATAAAAATTTCAATGATCTAAACTGAAGTAGTACTGTCCAATTTAATTTAAATAGCATTTTAATTAAACGGAGAAAGGTAAGTAGACAGATGATCGAAATGAATTAAAACTCATTGATGACATTAATAGTGTGAAACACGTTACAAAGACCAAAGATTACATTTAGGAATTCCTTTGAACTAAATATCTGATCCACAATTTATTTTCTCTTTAAAAATTTAATGGTAGGCTAAAATAAAATCTTGTTTAGAAAAACTGTAAACGAAATTATAGCAGCATATACTTTATCTACTCACCAGTAGTATAACAAAAATATTCAAAGTAACAATTGAAAACAATAAAATCTACGATGTTTCCGCCGAGTATTCAGCGAGCTGATAAATATCAAGTAATTTTGCCTGAAAATAATTTGTTCAACGGACTTTCCAACGATGAATAAATTGAAACATGGAAACAGCACAATGTTGGCTGTTTAGAAACATGTTTATCAAGAAAATCTACAAAGCTTTTCCTAAATAATATTAACAAAACCCCTATTATTAGTATGATTAATTACCGCAGAACATTGACGATATATTTAGGATGTGAACTGATGTAATTACTAAAATAAATGATAAAAATGACAATAGAACGCAATCATTAGGGTAAAACATATTTGACGAATGACCAAAAATGCAGTTATGTATGAGATTTGTTCTCTTCCTCTAAACATAAAATATTACTTCAGGATTAGTCTAAGCCAACTCGACTTATTATAGGGAGTCCTGTTTCATGGGATTACAGTGTGATCCCCAAAAACACAGAATATTCGGAGAAAGCATCATTCAATCACAACCTCCATCAAAGCATTCTTCACCTTGATTGGAAAAACTTAGTGCAAAATGGTGAAGTATCCCTACAGGATACCAGAAAACACGCCAAATCTGTTGAACAGGTAGTGAATCTTAATCAGTCGGGATAAATCAAACTTGTAATATCTGTTCACAACCATCCCTTACCCTAACTAGATGCATAGCGTTTGCTGGTATGGGAAGTAGTAGATTGGAGGAGGAGAACTAGGAATGACCAAACATAGTGAATGACTGTTGCAACGGACTATCTTGACATTTGTAGACTACCTAGTTGAGGTAATTGCTCACGAGTATTGCAATCAGTGATTAGAGACGTCGGTTGGCGTAGTTCAGAATCAGTCGCATCTGTTCAGGTACATTCATCCTTTGTCTACCGTTCCTCAGATCTTTTGTGATTTTGAATTATTTTACACTCGTTTTCGTTCCACAAACTCATTCTTCCTTCTCCAACCATGTTTCCTATGTGTAGTCGTCGTGTCGGCTACAAGTGATACTGTAACTACGTTTATTAATCTGTAACTTATTTTGACAACTTCATCTGGTTTATTATTGTGCATTGGTCTGGAAATGTGAATCGATTCATATAATATATGTTTGATTCTACGTTGCTTGTGACTGACTGAAATTAAATTTTTTAAAATAGCGCCATACATATTATTTATCATTTTTGACCAATATAGATTTTAGAACAATAACAGGTGTGTTACCAAGTAAGACTGTACGATATAGTCAAATTACTGAAAGAAGTTGAACTTAATTACATAAAAATATCACATGGTATGCAATGTTTAAAGAAAATGTTAACTCGATAGAATTTTGTAATTTATATATTTTCAAAAGATCAATATTTTTTATTCATATTATAAGCTTCCTAATATGTTATTATGATTACTTTATTTATTTGTTTACTTAGAGGTTTCTAAGCTTTCAATTTCCAATCATTACTATATAGAGTTAATTACTTTTTTTCTAATAGCCGTTCAATAATCAAGCAGTATTACAACTTAAAAATGATAAATTGGTAATGTTAATAGTATTTATATATTAGATAATACTGTCGTTAATTAAGACCTCTTTTGATCACGAATATAAATTAGCAAAGAAACAAAATATTATGCCATCCTTGAAATCAATGCGAATGGATAACCACAAAAATGTCAAAATTCTGTATCTGGGATACTCCAAAAGTGCTCACGAATTCCTCGAAGCATAATAATCAGATTACTTGGCAATCAATAAGCATATAGGCATAGACTCATTCTATGAACCTATAATTAAAGATGTCAATCAATCACAAGACCAAAGGTCAATGAGCATAGACGGTTAAGGTGAATACATCGAAGAATAGAGGTAACAAAATCTATGAAGACAGTCAGTCAAAAACGATACCATCAGAACGAATGGATATGACGTTTGTGGAATAACTAAGAAGCTCACTTTTACACAAGGTAGGCTCTGAAAATGTTGTCCAGAATAATAATCAAAGTTCCGCAGTCAAACCATCTAACTAAAAGAATACAACACCTACGAAAGCATCCATCTGAGCTGCGAATCTCCATTAGTTCAAACTTCTAAATTATACAGTCTAGTGTACAAAACATGACAGGTGACTTATACATGTAAGTTGACGTAGAATATGCAACACCATAGAATAATTAAAAAAACAGAAGGGAAAAATAAATCCATCCTACTGAAATTTACTTTGAGTTATGAAATTAGAATTAATTGTTTCAGTTACCTTTGATTATCCGGAAACAAAGAATATTTATAAAGATTAAGAGAGTTAGTGAATGAAATTAACTTCCTATAGCTATGTGATATGAAAGTGTGTTCTATTAGTTGTCTTCCTATTTATACTAAACAATAATTAGCACATAAAAACAAAAACAAATTGATGACTTTGACCAAAATTACTCAAAAAAATCAATTACATAATTCAGCACATTAAAATCGAAAAGTTCTGAAACGGTATATCTATTTCTTTTGTTCAAAAATGCTTAAGTGTGGCCAAAAACAGGTATTTTGTAGGACTAATACTGACGTAAAATGGAATGTTAAATTGTGTCAGGAAGTTTTGAGTACTTAAAAATGTTGAATATTCTCTTTTATGATATTTTGCAAACAAAAAAGGATATAGAATTCAGCGGTCTGTATTAAACTAGCTGAGAGATAACAACTCTAGGAGCAAGTCTACAAATCAGTAAACACCTTATTATTATATCATTATTAGTTAAAAATTCGAGTCAAAATATGGATATCAACACAGAGATACAGGTATATCCAGATGACAAATCCTAAATAGGATGAAATGCATGTCTTAGATTCCATTGTTAGCTACAATTAATTTATTATATAGTACTCTATTGTTGATAAATGCTTCACTATTCAACTAAACAAGAATATGTATTGAAAAACATACATACTATGTAGCTCACTTGAGATTTTTATTTTAAATGCATACTTCATTATAAATACCAGGGTATCCAAAGGTTATTCATCATCATGTTATGATAATAGTTATATATATATATATATATATATATATATATATATATATATATATAAAACGTACTTTTTCTTATAATTTCTTATTACTTAAGTTGATGCTAAAGTATCTACTCATAAACTTTGACAAAGGGTTGTTGTTTTTTTCTTCTTTAAAAAAACACAAAACAAATTAACAACATATGACAAAAACATTGAAATCTAATGTATTTCACACAATGAAAACATTGGAAGACATGAAGATAGAATGATAAAGAATGAATTGATGAATAAATTCAATATAAATTATTATTTCATGTTTAACACTCAAGTGTTTATTAGTTCTAATAAGAATAAGAAAGTGAATTAGCCAATTATATCAGGTTAATTTAATTCATTCAAATATTGATCATATTCTATGTTGCCATGTGATCTATACATAAAATGATGATGATGGGTGATGTATGAAAGGTCGAGACAAAATTCAAAGACTTAAACACCCACTTTTGAAATATAAATAAATAGATTTTATGAAAAAAAATAAAAAATGGAAATCCGAAACATTTATAAGTATAATCAGAAGGGGGTTTTGTGGAGATTTTAGTAATTTTATATAATTCACTGCTGAGGAGTCCCACAATAAGACGAAACGACCGTCCAGTGCTTCCACGTTTTTCCATGGTGGTCTAGTTTCAATTAACTCATGATCTCAATTATGTATAAACGTAGTTATAATTGAGTATTTAAAAAAACCCAAAACAAACGACAACGTTTAAGAGTAAGACATTCTCTCAAATGAGAGCGTAATTTAAATTATGTTAATTATGTATTATTGTTCGCTAAAGAGATAATTGAAAATTTATGATAGAAAAAGATTTAATGGTTCAATCAGAAATTTTCATAAAATTAAACTAAGATATTTCTTAGACATCCTATCGAATATTTATTAAAGTTCTATAAAAATGAACACAAAATACTATCAATTATCAAGAGGTGCAAATGAATGAATGGTTTAAAATACTGAACTTTTTAATACTTTTAAATGTCAAAGATGTTCGTTCATATGAGAAATTGGATGAAAAGTGATCTACTCATTGGAACGTTTATCTGAAAGTGGAGACTATGCTGTTTTAGTTGTTAAAGTAAACAAACTAAGAAGGTTTTATTTAAAATAAAAAATATCATGAACACCTTGAGAAATATTTAGAAAACCCTGATAAACACTAAACAACGTACAGATCAACGGTCAATACTTTTAGGTAATATTATTGTATCTTTTCCATTACTCAACCTGCATCAGATGTCATCACCAGTGTAATTTCGTTTTGCATGAGTAAACCGCTCATATTGGTGCATATAGATAACCTCGTCGACTTAATTCACTTTTGTTGTTCTCTAAGAATCTAGTCTTAGTTAACAGTTAGAAATCTGAACCATTAGAGGTTAACTAGCTGAATTGAGGGTAATATGATCTGTGAAAGCCTGATGATTCTGCTCTCACATCATGAGTGTATATTCCTGAGTCTTAATGTTACGTCCTTGATCTGTCTACCCACTTTCGTGCCGAGGATAACTTGTCTAATGTAGATTAAGACCTTGACGCGATAGACTGACTGGCTTAACCTTGAGGCTAGTATGCGTGAGTTCGAAGTGTGGGGTAGAGGGACGAAAACTATTCTTTCCCTGATTGGCTGACAAGCACACGAGAGAGAGAAGACAAGACAACTGGAACACTATTCGCTTTATTCCGAATTTAAAGCAATTAGTCCCTTTGGTAAACTTCGATAATATAATGAGAATTCCCGATCTGGTGCCCGAATTCAGATTAGTGTAAAAAGATACATGAATAAATAGATGACTAACCTGACCACAACGTATAATAATTAGGAAAATACAATTATGCCCAAAACTGTGGGATTAGAGTAGAAAATAGAGTACAAAAGGTTGCGTCTAAATTACAATAGCTTTAGAACAGAAAGGGCTATGGCAGTGAATCATACATCAAACGAAAGCTTATGATCTGTAGAATAGACTAGGGGCAAAAGTAAATGCTACAGTCATACAAGCTTTAAATTAGATGAAATAACGTCCCCAAAAATAGCTTCCGTAGTTTGTTAAGGCTTCTTGTTTCGCTGTTCACATCACTTAAACTAATACGAAACAACTGTTCAGATAAATTAAGTTCATAAGCTGAACTGTCTTTAAAATGACTAATCCTTGAATACCTCTCATCATTCAAATAGTCCTATGTTATTAACCGTCCAATTATACAACAGTCACTATAGTACCATATTAATTTGCCAATTATCATTAAACAAAACCACTTATTTATAGGCTTCAACATTATAGTCTTAGTTTTTATTTCACAGTAACAATAATACATACAATTTAAATTTAATACTAATTAGTCATTTAAACAAATAAATAAATACAATACTTCAATTATCGTTAACTTATTGTCTGTTTATAATACAAAAAAGTTAATTCATTAATTTCATTTAATATTGTACTGCTTGGTAATAAATGTTAATTACTACGTCAATTTTTCTGTTCATACAAACAAAATAAATAATCATTAATTGATTATTTTTTTTAAATGATAATAGTTATTACTAACTTATCCATCTAACTTATCTTTTAATTAACTAAAGAATAAGAGTAATAATTCATTTGTTTACTTGTTTTTTTTACAAAGAAATAAAAGCAAGAAAAAACACAGTTGTAATTAAAATAAAACTAGAAACAAGAAATAGTTGAATGAACAATTTAGTTTTTAATATTTTCATAGTTGAAATCATGAGTCAATTGAAGCTAGACCACCATGGGAAACCTGGAAGCACTGGACGGCCGTTTCGTTTTATTATGGGACTCCTCAGCAGTGCGCATCCACGATCCCGCACCCGCGAGATTCGAACCCAGGACATACCAGCTTCGCGCCGGAGCACCTAACCGATAGACCACTGAGTCTTCATCATTTAGCTCTACTACTTCAGTTACAAATTCATGATTATCATATTGGATTAGCCTAAATTAACGTTCGTGAATAAATGAGAAAGATAAAAAAAAAGAGATTATCGAGTTTTATAGCTTAATGGATAGCTCTACGCTAGGATGATAACAGCTGGTTATTTTGTTTCCGGTTTTTAATGGTTGTCCAACCAAGATCAGTTCCTGATGTGAATTAAACTATGTTATGTATTAGAACAATGGATTGGATAATAAGAGTTCATAGTCAGTCAATACCAGGTGATCTAATTGTTGGCCATATTAAATAGAGAATCTGACTAAACCTCTTTGGATGTGCAAATTAAAGTTTTTTTTGAAGTTGTTCTTGTTAGCTTCATTTATGCACTGGAAAAATAATCTTGTTTCTTTGGGTAGATTATTCAGGACATGATATTAGGCAGGAAAGGCTTCGTCTATTATGGTTTACGGTTGACCATCTCCGAGGTAAGAAAGAATGACGATTTTGATAGATTTAATGACTTCTTTTCAAAAGCTTTTTGAGCACGAGAAATGTAGCTAGCTCCACAGACCCAGTTAAACTGGCAGTATATGCGCACAGAACAACCTATCGTTGGTAACATATCCTTAGTTCGTAAGCAAGTACTGGTTTAGTTGCTGAGTTAACATGCAATTATTCTCAGAATATAATACTTTGATTCTATAGCTTAGATGTTTAGTCAAAATTATTTTGTAACCACGATGTGTAAAACTATAGAAATTGATATATTGACCAGTTCATAAATTCTTTCTAAATAATTTCTTATTTATGGACTCATCTCTCCAACTAAAAAGTAGGATATCCACAAAAGATATACTACTTTCATGTCATACTTCATATATGTATTTAGGAACAGGATGAGCGTTAATCAAACCGTTTAACAGTTCTTATACATTAACACTATTGTCGTACAACTATTGTGACTCCATATATTTGTGTAAAAACATTGTTAGACGCAAAATTAGTGTTCATCGTGCATTTGAGTAATAGTTCTTTGTTTTATTTATGAGTTTTCGTATACCTATCATTCTTTCTAATAGCTGTTTTGAAATGCAATCGACAGTTTCTATTTGTAGAATAATCCCAAATAAGGATGCTATACCTAAACAAAATAGTTTTATCTGTTATGTTCACACGTTTTATTCACGTCTACAAACTTAAATACATACTTTAAAAAGTATTTAACATTTTTGGTAAGATGATTCTAATATATTAGTTGAATTCACGAGTCAATTGAAGCTAGACAGCCATAGAAAGCCCGGAAGCACTGGACGGCCGTTCCGTCCCATTGTGGAACTCCTCAGAAGTGCGCATCCACGGTCCCGCCCCGCAGGATTCGAACCCAGGACCTATCGGTCTCGCGTGTGAACGCTTAACCTCTACACCACCGAGTCTGCATGGTGGTCTAGCTTCAAGTGACTCATGAATTCAACTAATAAATTACTAAAATCTCCACAAAACCCTCTCCTGATAATAAATCTAATCGGTTTACTGGGTGCTATGATGAGTTTATAAAACCAGGCGTAATAGTATCTCTAGTTTGTGACCTTTTGATAATTCATAAAGCCAAAAAGCATCAATTCCATAAGATCTAAATATATCGTAAGTACCCATTAAAATATGTCTTTGCCGCTTCGATTATTTTGTTATCTTAACTTCCTATCTTTTCCATTGAAAGTCCATTGAAAGATACATATAATTTTTCACATTAGGTTTGGTCAATCAGCAAACTGTAAATATCATATATAAAATTAGAACCAGACAGTTTTAATAAAGATGATAGCGTAATAAAAAACCAACAAAAACTTTTTTTTCTTGATTTCCTGATTAAAATACATATTAACTGACTTTCTGAAAAGATTAATACCAGGCTAAAAAGATATAAGCTAGGAGATTATATATATATATATATATATATATATATATATATATATATATATATATATATTAGATTGTAACCAGTGTCCTATTGAGTTATGATCATCATATCAAATGATTCATAATAATCAAAAACAAGAGGCTAATGTGATTTCATGCTACGAAAAAATCTTGTACTTGTGTCACGAGATCTGAAGATTGCTCGTTTTAATCACCTGTAGAGTTGTAAGTGGATAATGTTGAAGAGTTACACCAAAAAACTATGACAATCAAAAACACTGGATATTTATGTTTATAACTACCGTCATCATGGTAGGTAAACTATCTGATCACACTTTGTTGGATAATCATGTTAAAAATCATTCGCCAATTTAATATTGTCAAAAGAAAAGTATGAACCTAGTAACATCAAATCACCATTTCTTATATTTATAAACATTTTGAAATACCAAAAACAATCAATAAATGTATACCAGCATAGGATTTTTTGATAATGACACAAATTTTTTGGATAATTACAATGCTAAAATCAAGCCTAGATAAGTGGATTCATCATTCAAGCAGTCTAGTATGTATGACCATTTCATCTTCTGTTCAATAAAATAGTACTTTTAAAGTCAATTATCGTCGACTACTTTATGATACATAAAATCTGTTGAACTGGTTTAAGTTATTGGAATGTATTCTAAAAATATTCACACGTAGGTTTCATGAGCATGCAAAGAATACTTAGTACAAATGCTTCTATATTTAATCTTAAGATCAAGAATATTAGAGACAACATAAGGAAAAAAATATTTTATGCAATGATCATTCTTTAGGTAAAGTCTTTAGGTAGACAAATAATCTCTATTCATTACGAAGATTAATAAAGCTGAAACAACAAAAGGATGGACTTAATGATCAATGTGTATCTAGTGTCATTATACTACAAGTTATAACTGCATATAACACCAATGTACTGGAAAACTATACATCATTGAAAACAAATAATACAATATTGACAAATAATTAATAAATTTACTTTATCCATTTCCATGTATCCATTATCTGATTCCTCTTGGGTACATGCATAACCGAAATCGCATAATTTTGCAACAAATCCTTCTGTAACTACAACATTTCTTGCTGCAACATCTCGATGAAACAGCTGAAAATGATACATACAAAATTTATTTTGAATATTGTAAAAGCTGTCCAAACACGTTAATAACAATCAAAATTTCCGAGGTATTGGGTCTAAAAAATTGTTATTTTACCCACTCTTTTTTTTGGAACATGGAATGGTGAGAAATCACCATCAAATGACGAAAAAACATAGTTACCATCGAAATAAATCTAGCGCATCATGCACAGTGTAACTAAGCTGAATAACTGACATAAATCAATGACTTTGTTTATCTTAAAAGTGTAATAATTAATTTCAAAAAAAGGAAACTAATTAATTACTGTTTACAGTATTGTACTATACAATTTAATAAGGTTTTTTTATTTTTACTGATGTGACCGATTTGACATTCAATAAAATGTACCGTAAAAATTAACTGAGGATAATAAAACAAATTACAGTAGGGCGCGGCATTTATAACCAACTTCTACTCAAGTTATATATTAATGGTTGGATTGACATAAAAATCTTAACCAGTTAAAGCAAATGAGAATAATAATGTACAATTCAAACATTAAAAAACTTGATATCATGAAGTTATCATGACAAGTAATTTTATGAATTCCTCTTAACCATCATCGAAAGTGATAATTGATCAGGTTTTTTTAATGACTTTAATTTCTTTCTTTCAGAGAGGAATTAGCATTTACAACACTAGGTATTATCATCCTACTATTGAAAAATTAAAAAAATATTTAATTTTACTGTCCTCAATGTTAAAAAAAGACAATATAGCTAAAAATAAAACCTGGTTGATGAGCCATTTATAGGTTACTGTCGTACTTAATAACCATACACTTTAGTTTATATGCCCATTAGTGTTATTTACATAATGCATAACAAAACTAAGTTTGTAATTATTCTGTTATTTTTAACATTTTCAAATAGAACATAATGTTAACACAGTCCCATCATAATATATGAAATTTATGTAACTCAGTAACGTGTATCAGACGTAGCGGCTCGACTCTAAGCTACAAATTTTATGATACTGTGACCAACTTCCTGAATCAAAATAAGCTAAGATGATTCAATCTGATGATATAGTGGTTAAAAGTTGAGTACCTTGATTACCTAAATAACAGGCCCTTATTACCTACTATGTGATAACTTCACAAGATAAGGGAAGTACCATTCAAATTGTAAACAGCCTGCTTGATGTATCAAGTTCATTTGAAAACCATTTTCCTGAATGAGGTTTAGATCCCGTTCAACCTCGTTTGTTTCGACACACGAGTAGTCTCAATAGTCCTTTCACATAGATTGTGGCCGAAGAGGTCGAATAAATTGAAATGTTGATATTTTCATCTACGATTAACATTTATTCTTTTGAAAATTTCCAATGCTGAATAAACGAATAAGCTTTATGGTTAAAATTATTAGAATACTTTTTAGCATTACAACACTGATAGTGGTTTTATATTTTCCATTCCTTTTTACCGAATTAGGATTTGAATTCAATAATCACAGATGAACAGTGAAAATCCAGATCTCAGAATAAATTAAACTATTTATGTTGGTCTGAGAACCTGAGTCAATTAGTTCACAGTCCAATCAAAGGTGTTAAAAGTTGAATCTCAAGATCTTATCTCTAAAATGAATATTTCTACAATCTTTAATCAAAATTTCAACTAAAAATGAGCATGAAATTACGGAATAGTTTTATTAACTAGTTTTAATAAATTGACTGTTTCAACAGTAAAAAGAAAAACATACAAACAACAAATTGATTGACTTTTACACCAAGAATGTCACAAAAATGTAGCTGTTTAAACATTCTTTTTCTATATCTTCATGATTTTTACTCCATATATTTTGTTGCATATGTTCCTCGTAAATATGCTTTTTTAACATTCAGTAATAATAACGGATAAACTATTACTGTTATTACATTTTAATATTATCTCGTCAAAAGAACCAACTTATAACCTACTCAGTGTTGAAGTTCTGATAAAGATGAAAAGCAAAAAGCTGATTGAAATACTAAATTTCTATGAAAGGTATGGAACAATCAGTAATTAAATTATTATTAGTAGTATTAAAAGCAACATTAATCGACAGTCCATGTCATTCAAACTTACAGATAATGTCTCAAAATACAATAAAGCATCGGCAATATCCAATGCAAATTTTAACAATTCTACTCTTTGTTGTCTAATTGCATCATCAGATAAAATTTCTTTTAAATCGTTTGAATTTGTTACGACTACATATGATGAATTGATTGTTCGTTCATCTGCCCAAAAATTGATTCCAGGTGGTCGACGACTTCGTAGAAAATCTCGTAAATTACCATGAATAGCTAACTCGAGAAGAATGTATGGATGATCTGAAGATGAATAAAATAGCGCTTAATTAAATAGTTTCAGAACCAAATTTTAATTAATAGACATTAATACTAATTTTAGTATGATCATTCTCTTCATAATATGATAGCTTGACATTACTACTTACGGTGATATCTCCATAATGAATGCTGAAATATCAAGGTAAATATAAATAAATATACACGACATAACAAGCTTAATTAGTAGTTTATGTTCTCAGTTCGACAATGTCAACCTTAAGACAACAGTCAAAAATACTAAGAATTATAAACACATGAGAGGTCCGATAAAAATTTGATTTGATTTTTATATTATTATCAAATAGTCATCAAATGATCAAATAAATAGACTATTTATTCAAAATTATATATAATGATATAGGTTTACAATAAATAGCCGTAACATAAATATGGCTGTAGGCGGAAAAGAGGAGGGCCAAACAACACATTACGTTGGGAAATAAAAGCAGATATGAAAAGGATGAATAACAACTGAAAAAAACTGGAAAGGATTGCTCAGGACAAAGTTGGATGGAGAATGCTGGTGTGCGGCCTATGCTCCTCCACGAGGGGTAACAGGCGTAAGTAAGTAAGGCTTTACATGAAAAACTAGTTTAGTACAGTCTCAAACTTGTCATATGAGCATAATATGATTGATGAGTTGAAACTTCATATATTCCTCAATTTGTAAAATAAAATTTTTATCACATGTAACAGACAATACCATAAGGTAGCTGGAACGTAGTTTTAAAAACAAGTAAACGAAAGCAGTGAATATACATGTTAGATTCAGAAAAAGCTTTGATAACAGTTTAACTTATAAATCTTTAAGTAGGATAAAATTTTAATTGCAGTTAAATAATTCCCCAAGAAATATGATAAAATGCTATGATTTTTGATAGTCTCTTATATATACAGAAAACTGGTCACATCCTATGTTGACACATATGCTGAGAACGTTTTGATTGAACACACACTGAGAGTAAATTTGTGATTCTGATGATGATGATGATGATGATGATGATGATGATGATGATGATGATGATGATGATGATGATGATGATGATGATGATGATGATGATGATGATGATGATGATGATGATGATGATGATGATGATGATGATGATGATGATGATGATGATGATGATGATGATGATGATGATGATGATGATGATGATGATGATGATGATGATGATGATGATGATGATGATGATGATGATGATGATGATGATGATGATGATGATGATGATGATGATGATGATGATGATGATGATGATGATGATGATGATGATGATGATGATGATGATGATGATGATGATGATGATGATGATGATGATGATGATGATGATGATGATGATGATGATGATGATGATGATGATGATGATGATGATGATGATGATGATGATGATGATGATGATGATGATGATGATGATGATGATGATGATGATGATGATGATGATGATGATGATGATGATGATGATGATGATGATGATGATGATGATGATGATGATGATGATGATGATGATGATGATGATGATGATGATGATGATGATGATGATGATGATGATGATGATGATGATGATGATGATGATGATGATGATGATGATGATGATGATGATGATGATGATGATGATGATGATGATGATGATGATGATGATGATGATGATGATGATGATGATGATGATGATGATGATGATGATGATGATGATGATGATGATGATGATGATGATGATGATGATGATGATGATGATGATGATGATGATGATGATGATGATGATGATGATGATGATGATGATGATGATGATGATGATGATGATGATGATGATGATGATGATGATGATGATGATGATGATGATATCAGAAAAAACAAATCACTGAACCTAGAGTTCTAGATATTTAAGGACTTGGGTTTTAACTACTGGCTTTCATTCTAACTTGAAACATTTAGTAATATGACTGGTCATTGCACATAAATATCGATAAAGAGAACTAATGCAGCGTCTCAAAAAAATACTTAAGACTACAAGCTGTGATTTACTGGGTCTAAAGAAAATATAATGATGATTAGACTTAAAAGAAAATTAGGAGTAACGAGAATTGAAAACTGATGACTAAGAATTAGAGATGCTCTGTTGTATTGTGTTAATTTACAAATATGGCAGAATCGTTAAACATCGCAAAATTATTCTCTGTTATCATACAAATGAGAAATATTGAAGTGATTGAAATTATTTGTCTGAAATTATTGGTATTCAAGACAAGAAGTTATAAAACACATTACTGAGTATGACCAACACTACTAAAACATTAGGCTAATTTTTCGAATAGTATAGGATAATCATTAACAACTACATTTTAGATAATAAGGAGTGACCAGGTGAAAATTAATTAACGAATTTCATCCAATTATTTACGGAATTTAAGATGTACCAATACATAAAACATATGCTAAAACATGTAAGCAAAAATCGTCAGTCAGTCGGTCATAAAAAACATAAAATCAAACATATATTATATGAATCGATTCACGTTTCCAGACCAATTCACAACAACCAGATGAAGTTGTTAAAATAAGCTACAGATTAACAAACGTAGTTACAGTATCACTTGTAGTCGACACGACTACGCATAGAAAATATGGTTCGAGACGGAAGAATGAGTTCGTGGAATGAAAACGAGTGTAAAATAATTCAAAATCACAAAAGATCTGAGGAACGGTAGACAAAGGATGAATGCACCTGAACAGATGCAACTGACTCTGAACTACGCCAACCGACGTCTCTAATCACTGCTTGCAATAATCGTGACTGAGTACCTCAACTAGGTAGTCTATAGTTACCAATATAGTTCGTTGCAACAGTCATTGAGTTGTTTGGTCACTCCTAGTTCCCCTCCTTGTCGATTTAGGGTAAGGGATGGTTTGTTTGTTTGTTGTGCACAGATATTACAAGTTTGATTCACCTCGATTGATGAAGATTCACTACCTGTTCAACAGATTTGGCGTGTTTTCTGGTATCCTGTAGGGATACTTCACCATTTTGCACTAAGTTTTTCCAATCAAGGTGAAGAATGCTTTGATGGAGGTTGTGATTGAATGATGCTATCTTCGAATATTCTGTGTTGTTGAAGATCACACTGTAATCCCATGAAGTCGAACTGAGTGAACTGACAGCAGTATACTCGTCCTTTAATCTGGAGATGGAAATATCGTCTACACTATAGATATTGCAAGTGGTAAGAAGCCAACTGATGTTTTCGAATCCTTATCGAGGATCGATGAGACACAACAAGTTCAAAGCTGAAAAGATATTCACAGTAGATGAAGAGGTTGATGAATTTTACAAATTCACTCCCTATAATACATCGAGTTGGCTTAGATCAATCCTGAAGTAATATTTTATGTTTAGAGGAAGAGAACACATATCATACATAACTGCATTCTCATTCATGGCAATCTTGTTTGTCAGATCGCTAACCGAATAGAACTATGTCATTTTCATAGTCAAGGTCAATGAGTAAAAGTCTTTGTAAGCAAACAATCCATGGAAAATCAGACGGCGAAAGCGGTAAAAATGTCTACGATAAAGTTACATAAAAAGAAGGGAAAAGTAAGATGAAAGATCTTTCTGTTATTCATTTTGTTTCGTCATCATTCAAAATATTTTTAAATAAGCATTAAATAGCGATACCAAAAACGGTGATAAACAAAAATATTGAATGATATCAAATCTAGAGGATAATAGGACGATCTTTCTGTTTATTTTATCAACAAAAAGATTACAATAGCTGAGCAGAACACTTTATCTTTTATACAATAAAGTGTACGAGGTAAGTAAGTGTACGTACATACAATTAAAGAATTGATTTCTTAACCTTATGTACCATTTTCTCTTAAGTTTGAAGTCAGCATGTATAGAGGAAGTTATACATCGAACGTAGTTCTTCTAAAATAAGGTATATATATATATATATATATATATATATATATATAAACTGAAGGAAACACAGGTTTTATACATGTTAGTAATTTGATATTTGCTTTACATATTCATTCTATAACTTATTGCAACGACGACAAGAAAGAAATAATATGATGGAGGTACAGAGTTAAGATATGAATTCAATAAAAAAAATATTCCATAAAGTGAAAAAAAAACCAGTCAACAGACTAAGAAACACAGGTCCAGGGTACGTATATGTATCACGTGTATTTAGACAATGATACCACAATTAAACTCGTTAGACATGTTAACACTTGATAGATAATATGATGGTCTGCTTTGGGTGAAGGTCACCGCAAATATATACATATATAAATTATGATGTCTTGAATAAATACAGTGTAATTTTTCAGCCTGATTATCTCGTCAATGTGTATTGCGGTATACAACAGAAATTCTGGTGATCTATAACATCCATTGAATTTCGATGATGACTAAGTAGGGTATTTTTTTTACAAAAAGAGCTATAGCCTTTCTTTAAACAATAAGACAGGTTAATTCCGTTAAAGCTTATAACACGATCAGACTTAGTGGCTTAGCTTCGCTAATCAATCACCCTGATGGCCGTTATTATACAAATCGCAATGGTGTTTGAGTTCAGAAGGCAATAAGTAGCGGAAACTGCAGTTTATTAGTGGATAGCACAGATAACAAAGTTACAAGCACATCGAACGAATTTGAGCAGAGAGCTTAATGTGTGTGAAAAAGAGTGAGTGAGAGTGAATACAAAGGTGAATTTATAGTCAAATCGAATCAAAACACAGCTAAGCTAAGCAAATGCTATCAATAGGATCCGAGCCCATGTACATGGGAAAGAGAATGACTCATCGAGCAGTATTTAAGCGATCAACATTTAAGCTAGAGAGAGATATATGCGTAGGCTGTTATATGTGATCAAATATACACGTTTATACAGGCATGATAGTGACCATACTAATACAAAGAAATGTGCGAATCGTCACTGTTCGAATAACATTGTCTGCTGAATAAGTTAATAAAAGGGCTTAACAAAAACTAACCAGTAATCAACCCGGAATTCGGATTAAATCCGAGGGATCCCAACTAAATGATTCAACAACAAGATAAAGATCCCTCAAAGATGATTACGTGTCTACGATTCTTTCGTACTGACTATATTCAACAATCTCATTACATTGTAGAATTAATTGCCTTGGTTTTTGATTTGTAAGTGCAAAGCTGAGTGTATGATAAACGAATGAAGTGTGATATGCGAACCATATTGGGATTAATCAAGGAAACTAACAAAATAACAGTAAGAGCATGTAACTATTTCGACTGCAATGAAATGAATGGAACAATTTATTATCCTAGTACCCTAATTAGAAGACCTGACTTTCAAGTTATCATTATGAATTTCCAACTCTAGACATTTTAACACCGTCATATAGCTTACATTTTAAATAATGTATATATATATATGACTGAAAGTCAACGTAAGAATCTGCATTATTTAGTCACGTATCATTGAGATAGATATATTATTGAGATAGTCAGTTCTCTATAAAAACCTTAAAGTTATCATGATGTCGTTTATTTTTCATAGATATCAACCGAAGATTTTACCAGCACTGAGTTTAAAGATTTTTGACCATTAATCTTCAAATGTTAGAAAAATTCAGGTCATTTTTACGGATTCTGTAATGCAAAAGCTATACGCTTAAGTGATCTGCAGTGACGAGCTTAATAAATGTGTTCGTCAAAATCTGACTTATCACTATAATTTAGTCAAGACTATTGAGAACATAGAAATGTTTCTGTTTCTTGATCAAGGTATTCAGTGCTAGAAGTACTTCTTGATATCAGAGTATCCAGAAATCGACTGAATAGAGAATAGTTTACAACGACAGGAATAAGTGAAAGGCTTTAAGGGTTTTCTGACATTTGCGTCTATCCTTGATAAATCAGCTGTAATCTGATACATCATGTTAACATAATTAGCTCTTATCCTCTAACAATTCATCAAATGAAGGATTATTGATCCATTGAAAAAATTTCCATTTCAACAAGGTTTAATTGTAGTAGCATTTAATCAGGCAATCGTTTTATTGTGTATGTATGAGGTACACTTCCAACTACAGTGTGTGGAAGCTTGGATTATTTAATGAGTCGTGTAAAATCACATATATAATTGCTTACATAAGTAAACTGTTCAGTGAGTAATTATACTCCAGGGTTCATAGTTAGTCAGTCAGTCAGCTACAACGTAGGACCAGGAACATATATGCATCGGTCCAAGTTGCCATACCTCATTAGCATAAAAAGATGAACACCGAATTCATAGAAGTAGTTAATTTAATGATTGTATTATAATAAGAGAAAGATTGTATATAAGGATATAGTACAGAAAGAAAGAAAGGTAGGTTCATAGCACCATACATGTTTAAAAATTGAAATGAACAAGATGTTTGTACGTTTTCAAGTTTAATCTAAGCAAATAAATGAATGTATTTTTTCTAATTTCCGTGTCATCGTCATTTTGTTAATGGATATTGAATAGAGACAGTGCTTTAAAAACCTTCGCAAGTGGGCAAAACTTTATGTTTAAAACCTTCTAAATTTCTTTTTTATGTAATCTGATGTACATAACAAAAATTATTTGGTTTTGATCGAACTTGATTAAAGATCTCTTTCATGGTTTATTTTTTTAGAAAATTGGTATTATCTATGTAATAATTTGAAAAGTGGATTGAAAATATTCTTACTAGTATTTGTTTTAAATATGGATACTTCTTCTTCGAAATACTCGGTGAAAGTATAAAAGAAAACAAACTTCAAAGAAATCACTGATTCAATCAGTAAATCCTTGCATCAATGTTCTAATGTCATCAGTAAAAATTGTTGAAATTTAGTTACTTTTTCTCGAATCTTAATGTATATCTTTCATCTTAGTTTTTGTATTACAAATTGATGCCTCTTAATTTAAGTGACCAACTTAAACAAACATATGTAACAGTTCAAAGGATCACAATGTTTTCTTTTAAATTATCCTCACACAATCAGTTAAAATATACTGCAAAAAAACAACAACCTAGAAACAAACATTACATCATTTAACGGAATTAGAAAATTAAAAAGAGAAACTTATTATTTATTCAATCAGTTGATAGACAGTTGTTTTAATACGTAAATATAAAATTGAATAGAAAAGAAAGGACATTAATTATTCACACTGTTAATAGTGAAGAAGAATTTTTCCAATAATAACAATAATAATTACTACTATAACTAAAATGATAGATTACAAAAATAAAAAACCCTGTGTGTTGTGTATTGAAAGAAAAAAAGATTATTAGATTAATTATCACGTAGAACCGTATAGTGCATGACATTTTACTTAATTTTTGATGCTAAACATACATATAATATTGAGCAGAGTTAGTCATTAAATTTTAGTTTTCTCGCTTAAGGAATTGGTATTGATTACCCTTATTTTTACATGTAATGTGTATGGAAACTATGCTATGCTTTGTTATATATATATATATATATATATATATATATATATATATGGATTTAAAGAGAACAGGCTTGCAATAATGTCTCGTCTCTTTGAATACGACTGTAATTGTTCCTTTCTTTTAAGAAGAAAAGGGGAAAAATCAACTGAAAAACTTCATTTATATTATGGAAGCTGTTTGACACTGGAAATGCCAGTAAAGTGTACAGTTGCTTAGTTTATTCTAAAGAAAACTATTTTCTTTTGACTAATGCATTATTCTTTACGTTAAATTGGAACTATCGCATACAACGACATATTTACTAGAAATTGAGAATTTTGGTCATACGAATAATAATAATAATAATTACAAAACTTAGAGCCTGTCAACCTCCGCAATAAGTTGATGAACTTATAAACTCTAACTAAAAAAAAATACTATTGATATGGTTTATGACAATAACATGAACAATTGCTTGTGTTATAATGTTATTTAATCTACTGAACTGTAAGAGTCACGATTTTTATATGATGATTCGAATCCCTTTTACTCAATGGTTGAAACTGAAGAGATCTGAAGATAAGACATGTGTAAATATTAGTTATGTAAATCATTAGAATCAATTTACGTTTAAACAAGTAGGTTGTTATTCACTATATATATATATTACAAAACGTTACTTACTATTATCTATGCATAGTCCATGAAATCTAATGATATGTGGATGTGGTTCTAGCTCACTTAAAACTTTCGCTTCTCGAAGCAAATTAATTAATTGCCTATTTCGAAATCCATCTAGAGAATAACAGAAGAAAAAAGTGAAATTAACAAAGAGAAAAACACTGTGCATGTAATAGAAATTAGAATAATGAAGGAAAATAAGTAACGGTAAAATAAATTGTACACGAAAAACTTACTGTAATGAAAACAGAGTAATTCACCAAGAATCAATAACAGACAAATACCAACATCATTCAATTATGATATCGTTTTGTCGTCATATTCAAAAATTGAAGTGGTTCACTAAAAAAAATCACGTGTCATGTATTTACTTAAGGTATCTGGATTTTTCTTTTTAAGATGAAACAACAATTACGTTAGTTTATTACACAGGAAATTATTTACACAGGTATTAGCAAAATTATCACACGATGTATCATAGAATAAGCGTTATTGTTATATTTCTAAGCTTAATTCATTTCATTGTTTTTGTAATAATAGACAAATCATTACCTCATGAGAAAATACATGAAAAGTATTAATCAAACAATATTTGCAGCAATAGGAAATTATGCTTAAATATCTTTTAACATTTTCCAACATTAAGCTAATACAGATTACATAAGAGATGTTCACTTGAAGACCAGAAAATAATGAATTCACAAATCAAAGTGTTTAAATTTTTGGTAACATTGAATAAATCACTTTACTCAATAAAACTAATATTGACTTTAAAAGTTATTTGTTACATGGTTATGAAATCTCTGTTCAAATTAAAAAGTTTAATTGTTTTTTTTCTAAAACTCAATCAAAACTATATGAGTCTAAATCAGTTAAGTATGATAAACGTATGTATTCAAATGATTCGCTACAGGCTAATTCATGTAAAGCTAAAAAATTTTATTCTGTCATCGATATATGTGTTTATCCCAATTGATTAACACAGAATGTACATATGATGTGGTATTTTTATGGTGCTAAAGATTAGTTCACTATGATGTTAGAGGTAATTTAATCAATATATAAATACATGAAATGGCAACTAGACAATAGTTTATATGATAATATAAAAAAATATGATATATTTATAGAGTCGCTAATGAATACAGTTTTTAAGAAAAGCTATCGAAATTATTACTTCAGAAGATGAACAAAAGGAGCCGAAAAAATGTAACAGACATCTTGAAGTTTAATAAATTTCTTATAAATATTCGTTTAAAATATGGTATAATGAAACGGTTTGCTTTTAAACAATACCTGGAATAATATATGTTGGTACTGTAGTTTCACTTCAACCCGATTGGACGACAGAAGAATGACAACGAGTCTTAGAACTAAACAGAATTAAAGGATTCTATAGGACAACCGAAATCCCTTAGTTTGAATAAAGATAAAAGATCTCCCACTGATTCTACAAGGGATCATGTGTACAAACTAGGTCTTTGCAATTATAATACCTTCCATTTTATAGAGTCGTCTCGTGATATGTTTCGTACCACAGAACATCTAAGCCACACAAAATGATCTCAAAATAGTACTGCAGAACACGAGAATCTACAAATTAAGTCAAGTAAGTAGTACATGGTGCTTTCAAAAAACATCAAATTTGTATTAAAAATATCAAAATTAAGAATAGTTTATTCAACTATAAGCAAACGACAAGTGATTAAAGCATTCCGTATGTTGCCAAAACCTGTTAGGCTCAACAGAAAAGAATCGATAACTTCTAACCATTCAATGTAGACCATTTCCCTAAACAACCATTTTTAGTCTGTTCAAAATTCACCTCCAGTAAAGAATATACTAATTAGCTCTGTTCCCTCATATTACCAATGTCACAGCTTTTACACTTAGATATATACTAACACACCAAACATGTCTCACCTTTAACCTGAATGGTATGACATCAACATGATCAGATTTATTTTGACCGTACTAAATATTTTGGTTTTCCTACTATACTACCTCAACTTGTATTAATTTAAATTCATTGAGTGTTGTTTGTTTGAATCTTCCCATCGATGTGTTAGGACTGCAACTGGTCAGTCTCTAATTGGCATATGTGCATACTGTGCGTATTGCCTCGATATACCTTAATTCACAAGCATGGTAAGCAGAGATGGATAGTGGCTAGCAGTGGAATCCAGGACGCGCGTTTCGTCCTATTTGGGACTCGTCCGCTGGCAAGCAAGTGGCTATCAGGGCTCAGTGGCTGAGTGGATAACGGGATGGCGTTTGAAGCGAGGGTACTGAATTCGAGTTCCAGAGTGAACATCAACTCCGAGATGCAGGTACATCCAGCTGACGAGTCCCAAATAGGACGAAACGCGCGTCCTGGATTCCACTGCTAGCCACTATCCATCTCTGCTTACCTTGTATTAATTTAGTTCAGTTATTTTTTTATTTTATACTCACTGGAATATTACAAATAAATCATTATTTTATTAACATAAGCAATGCATTCAATTTATCCGAAATTTGTAAATCAAACCATAGTAATTACACTTAGAAACAATTTTTAAGCTTCAAAAATTCTTTTATTTCATAGATTTTAATCTTGAAGTTCGTTATTTTTCGCTTTTATCATTTCATAACTAAAAGACAATTAATCTGCTCTAATGTAATTAATTTTTTACGAGTGAATGTATGTTACATTGTGTTCTATGTAGTGTAGCAAATATAATGATCGTACCGAAATCTATACAACATTATACAAAATGTTTTACATAGACAAAACATTATGGATGTGTTTGTAACAAGAACAGGAAGTAAACAAACAATCACCGTTTCAATGTTCAATGAGATTGGCTTGTATTCTACCTGTGTAACTCAATGAAATAATAAGTAATATACTTTATTCTGCTTCCATAATGAATATTTTCACAGGACTAAAATAATAAAAGAAATTATTCTCTGGGATTTGTAACAAACCTCTTCTGAGTATTTGATTTTTCAGCTGTGTTATTTGATGGGACGATTATGATGTAAATTGATCACTACATTATATACGAAAGGGTTTTTATCTGTTCGGAGACATCTACAACCAATATTATTGTTGTGGTTAAGATGTAAAAGTTTTTGACAGTACTGTGTTCTATTCTGAGCTTGAAGGCTTATAAGTAAAGTTTTCGCTATCGTTTGTAGGCAATATCGCCGCAGTCCACTTCATATTATACCACCAAACAGTAAATCCGTTTTCATTATTATGAATAAATACAACTGAAAGATAAGATACTGTAATGACTAACGTGAACATAGTGGTAATTTTCTCTTACAGAACGTCTACTAAACAACAGTGAAACAGATTTCAATCAACTGATTGTACATTTACTAAGATTTCAAAGCTATGATTATGGGAAATTTTTAAACACGATAATATAAATTATCGAATAATGAATAACTAGTTAGGAATGAAATTAACGGTCACAAAACATTTAGTGGTTCCTCACTCTTGCCCGTAGCATTAATGGAATAATCTTTTCAACTCTTTTTATGGTTGACACTCCCAAGACGTTTTATAGATTTCGTTCTGACAAAGCTTACTTTTGGTTTAATTTGGACCTCATGTATTAAGTCTCTTAGATACTCTAGTTTATTTATTCTGGGTATTTACATTTCTTATAGACTAATGTTCAAACATTTATAAGTAATCAAACCAAGACTAATCAGAAGTCTATGAGGTCATTGATTGTTGAAGTGATCCTTGTTAAGATGTGAAGACCATATAATTAAGATCTTACGGACTATTTTATTATACAGTTCAAGGCTTTAGTTGGCATAGTTAAAAATAGATCACATTAGAATAATTGTATCGACTTTTTTTATTTTCCTCTAAACCATGAGTTTTAATGACATCATCCACTTCAGAAATGAATTCTTCACTGAACAGACCTTTTGTCGATATTCTTAATTTCATGAATAGTGTGTGAAGTTTTCTTTTGAATACTGTGATTTTCATAGTAGGATTCCATTTGTATACGTAATGAGCTTTGAAGTTTACAAAAACTTGTTTTGATCCAAAGCAAAACTGATTGTATACATTAAATGTCTCTACAATGTAGAACTAAACGAGTCTGATGAGTTGAATTAAATTTGATACATTGTTCACTGATTTCGTGAAAAGACAGAAGTGGAACTATTGGAACACTGGGGGGGAACTAGATAACTCCTTCATTCTATTCTGAGACTTTAAAGCAGTTTTCATTGCAAATCTCAAGTGGGATCAGATCCAGGATTTTGGGAGTTCGATGACAACTTGAGATAAAAAGTAACTTTTGTTCAATATTATCAGCGAATATTCATTTCATCACTTCTTGACATGAGAAAACTTCTTTATCAAGTAAAGATTCTTGTACCTAGCTATGATTAACACTTAATTTGAGAGAAATAGTGATAATCTACCTATCTGGCTGATCAAGCCGAAATAATTGGTGGGTTTGAACTTGCGGCCCATCGGTTAGAAGTCAAAGGCCTTATTCTCTGATCCTTCACTCTCATCGTCATTTGTACCTTGGTTAATCACACAGGTCGAATGGTTTGCTTTCAAATAGTACAAACCAATACGCTAACAACCGTTGCCCCTCATACATATGTGATTGATTTGGAATTGACATAAAATCAGAATACGCAGTAGTTGTTATTTTCTTAACAGTTTTTCATTTAGAAGTCAGATCTAAAAATAACTTTCAACAGTGAAAGAAAATCAAATCATATACATTAATCTAATTTCATGGCTCGTGTACATATGTAGGTTCAGCATTTCAGAAGTAACCGGTCCTAATTATCTCGTATTGCAAATTTCCACACACAGTTTTAGTCGCTTCACAATTAACACCAACCCCCCTGAATAAAGGTAACTTTAGAACTTTTTACAAGTTTGAATATTGAATTATGTCGGAGTATTGCCATGATCTAAATCTATTGTTATTCTGTGGTATTTACATCTTCCAACTAACAACAGCACATAAAGTGATTGATCAATATTTCTATAGTACAATTTGCTAGATGCAATGATACCATATCAAAATAAGTTTATCGATCACTAAGGAAAAATGAGGGGAAAAAATATAGTTGAG